GTGTAGCGCTAAGTTTGTCCTGCGTCGCGCACGCCCCAGCGGATCACGCAGGTGACTTCGACCGGCCTCTGACGGTGGTATACACTCACCTTCTGTAGACTGTCCAGAGGATCCAGGTGGCTGATCAGTTCGAGGTCCTCTGTGCAGTCTTCAGTCGTGGGGCAGGTGGAAGAGGTGAGTGGGCCTGTCTTGCTGTAAGCGGTCCTGTAAAGGCGGCATCCAGCATCGGCTAAGTGATGTCTGTATTCTTGTGTTCTTTTGCGTTTACGTTTCTTTCCATTGATGCCAAACTTTTGATTAATCAGAATTTCTTAATCATATCTGATGACATAGCGGACAATGAATATAATCTGAGACAGATGATGATTTCTTTTCAAATTCATAGCTTTTTCCAAACGAGAAGTTAAAATACACCCACAGGCATTCCCCGCTTTTTTAAAGGGTTATCATATCATAAAGATACGAACCATTTTGTTCAAATGTTGGTACCTTATAACACCTCTTCTAATCACAGAACATGCAATGACAACACATAAGATCCAGACGTCAAGCTGATCAGCTTGTACTACATGTTGTATTACATGTTTGACCTTCCGTTTCAGCCTGCTGTGTGAAGATGCCGTACCCGCAACTCCTGCAGAAAGCTCCCTTTTTCAGAAGCCAGGCAGCCATCGACGGCGATTTTCAGGAAATCTGTCTGACTGACTACCGAGGACAGTACCTGGTTCTGTTCTTCTACCCGCTGGATTTCACATTTGTCTGCCCCACTGAGATCGTGGCATTCAGCGACGCAGCATGGAAATTCCGTCAAATAAATTGTGAGGTAAGATATAAATGAACAAAATATAGGACATTAACCCTCGCATGTGTAGGGGGGTCGGATGGACCCCTCCCATGGTTTTTCGCGAATAACTCGCGTAAAAAGCGGCCGATCGCGACGAAACTTTCAGTACCCTCACATTGATCAATTTTACACCTACCCTGAAAATTTCATGACCCTGACCCAAATGACCTTTGACCTGTGACCTCTTTTCCGAGACCATGTTTGGCCGGAATCTCGATTCTGCGTATGTCGGCTCGCATTAGCCGCGCGTTTGCAAGCTTTTCGTGGTTTCAAACGCTCAAACATGTGATATGATGTTGCTTCCATGTATTAGGGTGGGTGTCAAGGTCATCTGAAGGTCAGGTCAGGTCATTGACCTTTGGTGACCTCGGGTGACCTCGGTTCACTTTTTCGAGCTGTACATGTTTCTAGGCTAGTTTTTGGAGCTGAATTCAAATTTAGCAACCATTTGAACATTTACGAAGTAGTTTTGGTGCCTTCGTAACATGTTACGAAGCTGTCAGACTCAGAGGCGGTTGACACGTACTACGAATACCCGTCACGACGCCTACTGGTTGACCTGACCTGACCTGACCCGACCTGGTCTAAATGCTTAAAGACATCATCTGTGATCAAAACTAACACGATATTCGTGATCAGCACCCCGAAAAACCCCTCTACGACTTTCTAACAGGTCCCGATTTTCCCGACTTTGGGTCATTGACCTGACCTGGAAGGTCAACCAATGACCTAGGACCTTAAAGGGACCCTCCCATCTTCAAAAAAGTTAATGAATTGGCATGAAAGTGATGTCCCTTGGTTCAGAAAGAGCGAAAAGGAATATCTACCAAATTTCACCGAAAAATATTCACTGGTTTTCAAGATATTAGGCTTTTACTTTTGTTTACTTTTTGGGACTCCCCTGTTACTAGCGACTTTATTTGGAAGCAATAATTTGGCAGCCTTAAAGTGCGGCAGACGTTGCGCGCAAAGCAGCGTATACCACCCCGTGTTAACGATGGTTTTAGTCTAAGATTTAAAAATCGTTAGATCTCCGCTGACGTCACAAATTCTAAGGGGGCATTCCAATGCATTAGCCCCTTAGAATCCGAAAACTGCAAGTTTGAAATTCCATATCTTCGAATTAAAGCATTTTTCGATGTTGTGAGTGCCCAAACCGGTATTTGCAGGCCATGGCCACCAATTTGGCTATCTCAACTCAAAACTAATGTTAAGGTGGGAGTGTCCCTTTAAAATTGGGTATCATCGGCTTCCTCTCGTCACGGGCAGCACGCTCGTTTTTTCCGCGAAGCTCTAGCTCGATCAGGGGCCAAACGGCAAGGGGGGTCCAACCGACCCCCCCCCCCCCCTACACATTAGAAGCTGGCAAACGCCGCACACATGCGAGGGTTAAAATAGCTTATCCACCTGGCGACTTTTATAGTGCGTGTCTTGTAAATGCATTATCATTATTTATCTAAAGTGTTATATTTTAATGATATATATTTAGTTTAAGTTTTAATCATGTTATTGAATGACCGTATTTCAGGTGATAGCGTGTTCGACCGACTCGCACTTCTGTCACCTGGCCTGGATCAACACGCCTCGCAAGGAGGGCGGCCTGGGGCCCATGAATATCCCGTTGCTCTCCGACAAGAACATGGTCATCTCACGCGCCTACGGCGTGCTCAACGAGGAGCTCGGGTACCCGTTCAGAGGTCGGTGGACAAGCTCCTTCCGAAATTGACTATACATCAGTCAACAAACGCGTTATAAGTCCTTTGCCTGACATTATTTTTTGAATGGGTGATCAGAGCTGAGTCAAATGCAGTGCAGCTTATCAAATATATATTCTCCGTTTATGGCTGCTGCAGAAAATTAAAATAATGACAACTCATCACTCCAGTGTTCACCATAAAAATTGGCGTTATACCATCGGTGGAATCCATAAAAGGCGTCACGTTTGAAAGGCGGTTATTTTTCTTTGACTGCTGTGTCCGACTCCTCGCCCAGGTCTGTTCATAATCGATACGGAGGGCGTGCTGCGACAGATCATCGTTAACGACATCGGCGTGGGCCGTTCCGTGGACGAGGTGATGAGACTCGTGCAGGCCTACCAGTTTGTCGACATACACGGAGAAGGTGAGCTCCAAATGAGACAGATTATGTGGCAGACTGTGAGCCCTGACATTTGTTCGACACTAACTATCTTGCACCGGCTCGAGAGAGACATGAGAGTGGCTTGAGGATGGAAATGGCCTAAGAAAAAATATTCCTCGCCTTCGCTGTAAGGGACGTCTGGCTTCGCCTTTTACGCATAGGGCAAATCAAATCTTATATGCTTCACAAAGACAACAATTATTTGCTAAAAATTAAAAACAAAATTTAAAACATGATCAAACAATCAGAATACATTTATTATCGATATTGCGCAATATTATGCAACAGCTTTGTTATCTAGAGAACGCATAATGCGCCAAACTCAAGCAAGTAAAAACCAAAACGTGTTTTTTTTATAAATCGTTAGTCCTTCGTGTTATTTGTGTCATTAGTTCTTCGTGCGACCAATTTTCCTCTCGTCAAGAGAGACTCATAACTCATAAGAGGAGCTAAATTTACGACGATGGGCTGGCGAGGGCGAAATTGTTGGGACATAATACCGTATATTTGAAGAAGAAGGCTATGTTTGGCAAAAACCCGGGTCCACAGCCAGAAGGCATCCACAGTGGTTATGTATTACGTAGCCACTCATAACCTAATCTGCCGCAAAACACTGCATATATTTGTTTTATGTGGCATTGCGTGTGTAACATAATTGTAGGAGCAAAAATGTTTATACTCTTAACGATGTGTTTCTGTTTTCAGTGTGCCCTGTTGGATGGAAACCGGGAGACAAAGGCGTGAATCCCGACACAGACAAGAGCAAAGATTACTTCGCTGTTTCACACAAATAAAACGCGACACGTCTGAAACATCGCTATGCTGACAAAAGCAAGCCTGACCATTCTTTCACCTGTAACATGTTCGAATTGGATAATGTGATGATTGAGTGTCACAATAAAATTAATTCACGATAGTCCAGCGCCATTTACAGCGAAGTGAGTGGGATGAGGCCAAGGCGTATGATACACATAGTTCGTAATTGTTCTTGAGATTCCCTGAGAAGCATATGCGCCGCACGTCATCATCAACATGCATCCAACTTGCATTGGGTAAAGATAAAGAAAATCGAGCCTATTGCGATAGTTGAGACACGCACAATACACGCGAGGGAGCCAGTGGGGCGCAGAAGAACACTAAACAATCCATTATGCTCCCTAATAAATTATCGATAGTTCCTGCCATGCACCTTATGATGCTTTGGAGCGCAGCAGCCACTCCTGTCTAGTTAATTAATTGATGGCCGATGTGAACTTTCCATGGAAATGGATTGCCTTTCTCATCCGGCAGCCCATCGACCATAGGTGATCTAATTCTGATGCAGGACGGGTAGAATATTGTTTGCCGATATTGTTTTATCTTTGACAGTCACGGAGGACGGTTAGTTTGTCTAGTATTCCTCTCAGCTTTCGCTTGATGGAATACTACTGCGGTTTTTGGAATGACAATTCGTAATTATATGTGCTTGATTCGTCTCCATCTGCGACTGTCCAGGGGCAGTTCGGGGGGGGGGGGTGGAGCCACATAGCTCAATCACACAGGTTATATCCATCTCTTTTGATTTGAATGTAAATAGTATCCCGTTTGGAGTCCGTTTTTTATTGTCGCAAAATTAGTATACTTATAAAAAGCACAGTCCCAAGTACTTAGCAGCGGAACGCTTTATATTCGAATAGGCCATACAGAACATTGTTTTTGTTAATTTAGGGTATTTTGGAGGGAGCGACAGAAAGGAAGCGTGTGACAGCGATTGTTAAAAACATTCAGCAAGCAGGACAGAGGGATAGAGAAAGAGGGAAAGAGAGAGAGAGAGAGGGAGAGAAAAAGAGAGAGGAAGAGAGAAAGAGAAAAAGAGGAAAAGAGACAGGCGTCCTGGTTGACGATTCGGCCGTCTATTCGGCTGCCTATTCGGCTGCCCGTTCGGCCCGGGTCGCGGCGCTGCGCCGGCGCCGACGAGGCCCCCTGCGTGGCAGCACACCTGGGCGACCGCCGACCGGGGCTCAGTGGGACAGGTCGCCGGGTCGGGGCCGGCCGGCCAGCGCCGGGCGCCTACAGCAGCCGCCATGGATGGCCACGGCGACGGACAGAAAAAGAACAGCCGCCTCGAGAGCTTCCTGCTCAGGAAGATGACGCCGGCCTGTTACGAGTCCATCAGGTCGGTTCATCTGTGCTGATAGTGGGTGTTGGTTAGGTGTCCTTTTTAGAATGTGTAAGTTTTCTGAAAGGACTTCATTCAACGCTCCCTACTTCACACAGTCGTGCGAGGATGTCAATATTTTCCGTAGACTCTGAGAATTGGTGTAGAGCATTGCTGCAGAGCGCATTGAATTGCGACACATATAGGGCAACGGTTTCTAGTTTGTGTTATGACTGATTTGGGACGCGCCTATTGGGGACGCTCGGTCAAGGTCGGCTGGAAATAGAGATCTGACATGCATCTTATGGTGGAAGTAAGCCTATCGCTCTTCGTCATATGTCACGCATGCTGGTTAACCCTACAATGTAGGGCGCGCTGCTTGTTAAGCCATATCATTCTTGAGGCTTACGTGCATTAGATTTATATTAACCCTACCACCTACAGCCTCTATAGGTATATTAGCCTGTTCCTAAGAACACTGTTCGATTCGAAATTGCATTACCCCGGGAAAGATCCGAGACAATCAACGAAAGTGGTTAGCTGTCACACCGCTTGATCAAATACGGCACAATGTCGATATGGTGCACGTTAAAACGAGCGATTATGGAACACTGTTAAAATGGCATACTGACTAACGCGTTTTGAATTAATGTGCCCCAGTTCCCAAATTCGTGAGTGGCTAGGATCGGCCCACATTTTCACTCAGTTTGGGACAATTGTGGTCGTACATGCTCTCATGGTTCAGAGTGCATCACCTTATCAAATAAACTTCTCGATCTCACTCGCAAAGTACATATTACAAATGCCAGAAAAACCAAGTACTTGAATGTGAAAAAGTGAGCCCTGTCGAGAAGCGGAAAGGTGTTTTACTTACTTATGAAAGACTACGCTAAGAAAATAGTTATTGGCAATGTTTACTGAATAACGGAAAAGTTAAGCTCGGCTTATTGCATTCTGAGAATTTGCATCACCCTTGGAAATCAATTGCCTTTTCGATATAAATAGACCATCTGGGATAATTTCGGATCGTTGGAGGATGTCGCGGCGGAGGTGTTCGTGCCGCTCGTGCCGGCCGGACGGGCACGGCCGGCGCTGGGCGGCCGACCGACCCTATCGACCGGGCCGAGCATATTGGGCCAGCAGGACGGACGGCCGCCCGGCTGACCCGCCGCTCCCGTCGCCAGCCTTATTGTCGTAGTCTAATCAACTCGGCTCGGCCGGACCAACGCACCTCGCAACACGGGGAACAACCAAACCGGCCGGGGGGGGGGGCGCGGCATGCTACCCTCCGCGGTCACAGTGTCATTATTTTACAGACCATTAGTCTGAGTGGAACTTTGGTGAGAAGATTGGTCATTGGTCAATGGTGATGTTATGTAATGAATAAAACAATGGTTAAGTGACATGGCGTAAGATCCATTGGTGCGTTTCTGACATTGACCAAACCATTAGGAACACACTCCAGCCTACTAATGGAATGACAGTGCCGCCCAATAGGTTTTTGTTCTCGCAGGGGCGAGAGAATCACTGTCGTTGCGGTACAGGCCAGCTAAGAGGTGACTACCGTTAGAGTACTGTTGGGGGATGCAGTGCAGGTGGGAAAGCTAGCCTTCTTGCAGGGGGATCCGTGGGCGGATAACTGCCATCGCACCGGTGTCGCAGGTACTACGAGCCGTGCATCCTCCGGCGCGGGAAGACGGTCCAGAACATGCAGACGGCTGTAGTGACGGAGGCGGCCCTCTTCTGTGTGGAACAGCCGCCCAAGAGTCTCCAGCAGCTCGTCAAACTGCCGGACATTGTCAGCATCGAGCGGGTCAGTTCCGGAAACGGTATGACGTCAGTTCCGGGAACGGTATGACGTCAGACGCAGGTTCTAGAGGATGGGTATGACGTCAAATGATGTCTAAGCTTGTACTGCGAGTGGTTAGGGCTTAACCTGAGCGCAGCGGTCAGCTTAGTCGTAACACGACAATGTTTAGCGTGAGAAGTATCCTCATTAAGCGCAGTTCGCAGCACGCTATGGAGTCCCTCGGTGTCATCCAGCTGATGACGTTAATGTGTCCTTTAACTCTGGCCTGCTGACCTACTTTCCATGTCTTTGCGTTTCTACCAGACCGCTAGCTTGAGTTTATTCTTGTGTCAATTTTGTCATTCTCTGCACGCAACGGCGCTGCCAGGCGTGGATGGTCTTTGTCTAAGGCGGCAGGCCGTGAATGTCAGCGAAGGCTTCGTTCCCCAGCGCTGAACGTTGTTTCCAAACAAATGTTCCAGTCACGTTTTAACCGCAATGAAAGAGAGTTGAATTGCAAAAACTTTAGTTATTTTCGGATTTTTGTAAATTTGAAAATTCCAGACATATGTATTGCTTGTGTTGCGCTTTACTGAGCTAATTGAAAGACGTTATTGGCATGCATAATGAATACCCATTACCCACGTCATATACAAGGGTAATGAATACGTAGTTAGTTACTATGAAGTATGAAGTTCTCGATCGCTTTTGTTAAATGTTCACGAAATGGTCAAGGGCAATCGAATGCTCAACATTTATTCAGCGATTCTAAATTTTAGGCTACCTATCCTCACTTCGAAGCTCAACTTAGTATTGAACGATTACAGTAAAAAGTGAACACATCATTTAGTCAAAAGTGCATACAATTCCAGAGCAATGTTATGCCACGGTGTTGCTTCAGGAGCTTTCCAAGATTACCTGACGAGGAACCAATCAAACAAACCAGTGACCTTTACGTCCCAAACATCTAAAACCGCAGCTGGGTCACAGACCCTAGCGGTGCCAACTCGGGCGTACAGCTTGGCTCAGTCCTACATTATCTAGCACAGACGTCCCGTCAGGACCTGGGTGCATCCCAGCGATCAATGATCCCACAGATGTTCCAATGTGCGGGGACGCAAGTGTGCGTTCGCTGCCGTGACCTATAATATGTAGGTACGGTACGGTTAGAAGTTCAGGTCTTTCAGGCGAGTCCCCTGAGTCCGTTTAATTTTGCATTGCTGACCTATATCTTACTGAGACATTTAGCACGCTAAAGTCTGCAGCAAGGACCTTGGCCTAAGGTCTACCCCACGTCTATACTTAAAATGAGCATAAATTATCTGCAAAGTATCGCATAAGGCGTTTAATAATGATGAACGGCTAATCATTCGTTCGTAAGGAGATGCGTAGCTAATCTTTTAAGCGGTGACTTTTCGCGAGATTGCTTTCTATTTTGTGATAGAAAGTGTAACTATCTTTTCTTCTGAAAGTGCACCCTATTCAGTGTTTTGTTGACCAGAATAGACCTGGTTCAATAGGCGCCGCCGTTTGACCTCCCGGTGTAAGGTCAGGGGTCAACTGTGGCGGCCGTCACCTGGCCGCGTCGGCGCCGTTCTTTGGGTCGCTCTGGGTGAAACGGGCGCCGTTACCGCGGTGTCGGTCTGCAAAGTGAGGACCGGGTCGATGGCAACGGAGCCCGCATGGCTCCGCCCCAGTCCGCCATCGACCATTAGCTGACGGAGGGGGGGTGGGGGGTCGAGGGGTCCGCCACACCAGGTGAAGGCCATCGGCGCGATACCGTGCAATGGTGTGAAGGCCCGACCAACGGCCGGAGCCGTACCGCTCAACTGGTGCGAAAGCCATAAAGTGTGCCGTTTGTCCACCTTTGTCGCATTTTGATGGAGCGTTTTAGGCTGGAAAAGTGGGCAAGCGCGTGCACGGATCGAGAGATTGACGACCAGTGGAACAAATGCACCTAACTGAACAAAGTGAACGGACTTGGCTGGGTAAATAAATGGTCTTGAAGCCATAATAGAGCAGCAATATATTACTAACTCAACCATAACCCCCCTCTCTCTCTTTCTCGCCCTCTCTCTCTCTCTCTCTCTCTCTCTCTCTCTCTCTCTCTCTCTCTATCTCTCTCTCTCTCTCTCTCTCTCTCTCTCTCTCTCTCTCTCTCTCTCTCTCTCTCTCTCTCTCTCTCTCTCTCTCTCTCTCTCTCTCTCCCGCCCACACACAGGTCCATGACGTGGTGGAGTTTCTCCGTGAGCCTCTGAGGAGTAAAGTCCAACACGTCCGGATCGAGTACCGTCCGTCACCCGGTCCAGGGGCCGCCGGCCCGCCACCGATGGTCCGTCGCCGTAGCGGTGACGGCGCCTCAGAGCGGCGGCGGACGCTCAGCAGGCTCGAGGAAGAAGTGGAAGAGCTGGGTGGTCGGCTAGGACTGGCCGGCAGGACAACCCCCGGCGAGCGGCACACGCCAGACAGTGGCACTCGCAGGTCAGTTCACATCGATAGGTCAGCACTCAGCAGACATTGATCGCCGCTGTCGGCTCAATGCGAGATGTTAGGATAAAAATCAGCAAAAGCGAAAACACGAACTTGTCGACTACTGCTGTCTTTTTTTTTCTTTTTGTTCATAGGATATTATGCAGCAACAGCTCGAGTATGGAAAAAAATGAAACATACATTGATCATAAAACATGACCTTACTTCAGGGTGTCCCAAAAGTAAGGTCATGATTTAAAACTTAAATATCTCGAGAAGTAAGAGTCCGAATCACTTCCAATTTTAACACGTGCAAGGTACATCCATAAAATTATTTTCTTGCATGCTTAAACCATTTTTGATCATAACTAGACCGAGCAGTAGGCATAACACTGAGAAGGTCGAAATTCAACTCTTAGAGAGGGTCCGTCATTAAAACAAAGGGTAAATACCGCCCAGTTTTCGGCCCTAAGCAGACCCTATCAGCTCGCCCTATCTGAACTCATGCATAGTTTCGCCTCAACCGGTAAAACGTCATAAAACAGGTATAATGCACGCACAGGGCATGTATACTTAGCCACCTGTGCTTCGAGGTCCTGAGGACGACAGCGGGAATCGGGTGAAAATAAATCAAGAGAGGTGGCCGAGAGTCCTCCCAGTGGTTCTTCCGCTCGTCGCAACGTCGCAACGCAGCTGTGCCGACACCATCAACCAGCAGTGGTTTCAGCAGGATGGAGACCATCCTTGCACCGTCCTGAAGATCATGCATTGTCTCCGAGAGTGGATGTGAGATCGCGTAATTTTCAGTCAGGGCAACGCCATTGAATGGCCTCCGCGGTCACCTGACGTTACACCTTCATATTTTTATTCTCTGGGTACACAACGGAAAGGTTGTCTTTTAGGACAACCCAACGAGCCGGGAAGAACTAAAGGATGATCCCTCCGAGCAAACATAAGCGGCATCTCACCAGAGAATCGCTCCAGAATAGTGGAGGAAGTAAAACGCAGTCTATTCGTGCACGCGGCCCGAAATGGTAGCCATGCAGAAAAGCAGCAAATGTGGGGCTACGAGCCAATGTATTGACTCATATGTATATCAGAATAAAATTTTATAAAATGCTCTTTCATATGATGGCCTAGTTATTTCTATCCATCGCGTATTTTTGGCGGTGTGGCCAAAACAAATGATGACCTTACTTTTGGGACACCCTGTGACTTTTATTGTTGCCCGGTGACTTACGTAGGCTTCTTTCTGTCTGGTAACTGTCTCTCAGTCTCACCACCTCTGCGTTTCCACAGGTGCCACACCCCCGGCTCGCCGGTGCGGGAGGGCAGCTCACTCCTGGAGTTGTTGGAGCGGCGGCACGCGGCCGGCAGCCCGGAGCCGCCCGGCCGCCGGCGCTGCGGATCTCCGGACAGCCGCGGCGGCCCGGCGCGACTCTGCCCGCCCGGGCCCGCCACCCCCAGCCGCGGCCTGCCCCGCTCCCAGAGCGCCCTGCCCGCCTACAACAGGTCGTCCAGCATGCGGGTTGAGCTGCCGGAGCGGTCCCGCAGTGTGCTGGACCGGCCCCTCGCTGACAGGTAACCACACTCGGCCTTGTTCTCGAATCATACGTAGTCGTAGAACCAGCAATGATACTTATCCTACAAAGTTGGATAAATCTGTGGTACAAAACACTACACAGAAGTATTGTGATAGGTTGATAGGTAGGTATTGCTAGTGAGGAAGCACCTATGTAACAGCGTGAAAAAAGCCCTTTTCTTAATCATTATTCATAATGTACGATTTTATTTGAGTTGACATGTCCCGGCAATGAGTGATAGACATACGAGTATGCATGGATAGATGGCGCTGTCAGTCACGGCGCCTGCGGGTAGACTGCGCCGCACGGCACAGTGTAACGATATTCCTGTCCATAGATGGCGCCAGTAGTGAGCGCCTGAAGTTATGCTGTGCCGCATAGCCCGGACCTCGTGTAATGGAGAACGCATGAATGCTACGGCTGTGAATAGGGCTTAACCCGCGCACCGACGGGGGTCTGCGCCAACTTCGCACCGACGGGGGGGGGGGCGGATGACCGCCCCCCCCCCCTGAGATCTCAAGAAAGAAAGCAAGATAGCGACAAGCGGTAAACGGCATCGGATACGCACGGTCAAGATCTACAATTTTTACTAAGGTCATTTTCAGGTCAGGTCAAAGATGACGTCACAGGGGTCGAAAAAGTCAAAATGGCGGCGCCAGATATGGAGAGTTTTTCTCGAATAACTTTCGAATTAGTCAAGATAGGAACAAACTAAGGGCATCATCGTGATCCTCTCGTCAATCCACATCGAATGATATATATGTTGACCTCGAAAGGTCTAGGTCAAAGGTTGACCTCAGGTCACGTGACCTCGAGGTCATCATGTATGTATATCATTCGATGCGTCTTGACGAGCTGAACACAATGAGACCATCCACGTGGCTGTATCTTGTTCCTGTACGGAGTTATTGGCAAAAAACCTTTGGTGACCTTTGATGACGTCACATGACCTCACAGCTGTCCAACAGCAAAACAGACCTCAAGGTAGTGTCGGTTGATCGTATATGAAGTCATGTATGGTATATGTGGCCATTCCGGCCCGTTTTAGTGGTAAAAACAGGGAGTTGATTTTTCCCCCATTGACATATAATGGGGAGGTCGCGAAATTGACCTGACCTTAGGTCACCGATATCAAAATTCCGAGATAAACAAATTGTAGCTACTAAGGACCTAATAACATCCTGCGACTTTCAAAGGCCTCCGACATCTACTGTAGCTCTGGCACGGTGACAAAGTTGCAAAAAAGTGACTTGAGGTTGGGTCATTCAAAGTGACCTGGTGACCTGACCTTAAAAGGTAGGAGGTTCAAACTTGCACACCATGTGTAAAATTGATGAGGAAATAGTCATACCAAATTTCGCGTAGCGCCGCGGTTTTCCCGCTATTCGCGAAAAACCTCAGGGGGGGGCGGATATCCGCCCCCCCCCCCCCCGTCGGTGCGCGGGTTAACTACCGTGGATATCCATCGTGATGGAGTGAATTGTGAATGCTATGGGTAATGAAGGATTTAGAGCAAGCATATCGGCGTGTTCTTTTTCTTCCAGCAGGAAGTCGAAGAAACGGTCTACGAGCCTGGATGACGTGCGCGGCCCGGCGACGCTACCGCCACCCGAGGTGTATCATATCTACCTGCTCCAGGGAACATCACTGTTCCAGAGGCATCTCAAGACGGCATGGATGGCACGACTGATTGTGAGAATTTTCATGCTCCGATTACCCCGTTCATACCGTCTATTCTCATTTTCAGTTACATTTGATCGCATGTAAGTGCGATTGAAAAGGCCATGCATCTCCGTACATACAGCATCGTATTTTACGAAAGATTCGTTCAGGTGATGTGACTTACTGGCTCAGACCAGCTGAAATTGCATTCAAACTGAAAATAGCTTAAATACTCCATAAATAGACTGAACCCGGGCACACCACGGTCCGGGTGTGATCGCACTAAGATAGCGATGTGCGTATTGCTTCAGAGTGAAGAACATAACACATGTACTCAGCTAGGTTGAACGTATTCCTCGCTTGTTATATAACGCAATTGGCACTATACTTGTGATGCCCCTCGCCCCATTTATTGGCTGCACCATGAATGTGTTACTAACTGGAGATTGTGTCGACACAGGCCCATCTGTTGTCCAAATAGGGAATACAAGAGCCTCTAAAGACCCGTGTGCGGAGCTGGCCGCCGCCACTGTCAATTCTTCCTGCCCCAACCGTCTCCGTCCTCCCCAGCCCACTCGATCGATCGGCGAGCGTATAAGCGTAGTGGGCCTTCATTGTCGCCGCTCCGTGCTATGGCAACTGATAAACACGGGCGCCAGCCAGCTGGAAAAGCTGCCAAAAACTCACCGAACACGTTTCGCTGGAGCAACAGTCTCAGTGGTTATCGCCCGGATGATTTAGACATAACGTTTTACGTTCACTTATAATCTTTGTGTGTAAAATTATATCCAAACAGCTATCGTATTGGCTATTGCTACAAATGTTCGTTGCCAGCTTTATTCACTGAAACAACAGGTCTATTGGAAGAATGTTTCCATGTTACAGACTTACGGTCAAACGGGATGTTCCAACAGCCCGCGACCCACTATAAATGGAAAGCTTTCGATCTCGTTGTGATTTCTCTCACCGTTTTCGGACCCCACTGTGACTCCACCACTCTGTCCTCAGAGCGGCACCCAGGCCCTGGAGCAGCCCTCGCCGGAGCCCGCCGTCGAGGTCGACCACCGCCAGCTGGACCAGTTGTTTGACGACCTGCGCATCAGCCTGCTCACCTCCGGAGACCCCGAGCACAAGGCCGGCCTCGTGCACGAGCTCAAAATCGGCGCCTCTCAGTACAAACGTGTGCGCAGGCTGTTCTGGAAGGTGAGAGACAACCCGTCTCCCGGGTGGTGTAATTGACGGGAAACTTTCTAAAACTCCAAGCTTCGGGAAACTTCATAACTGTAAGTTACCAGAAAAAAATATCGGGAAACTTGAAACTTGCTTCTCATTTATCAATATCTTTCTGACGGGAAAACCGAGATCTTACCTCTCCCGGGTGAGATCCAAAACACGTCTCATATAGGTATACTCCCCCTCCGATCAATCCAATGATAAATGTATGCAGGGCAAAGAAGCCATAACCACCGTAATTGGATACACACTGACCTGTCCCATATCGCCTACCCCGCCAGGACGTCCGCCTGTTCGATATGCTGACCTCTGAGCTCACGTCCTACCTGCTGTCGACGAGCTCGTTCGACCTGCTGGACGACGGAGACGAGGAGCAGGGTCTCAGAGACCGAGAGGAGGAGCTCGATCACGTGGTGCTTCTGATGGAGACCCTGGGCGCGCTGCTCCGAGATGTGGAGGCCATGCCACAGGCTGCCAAGGTACTCACCGTATAAAACGGTTCTTTTACAGTGGGCAGTATTCATTTACGAGCCAGGAGGTGACGATATCGTACGACATGGTATATTAGCTTAATGTATTAACGCCGCACTGACGATGCTCGTAGTATGAGCTCGTAAGCCGAGCTAATGATGATGGCGATCTTGCAATGCCGAGCCAGACAGTGTCGCTAATGACCCTATGTTCGGTGCCTGCCACAGACGTCTCTGGAACCAGCAATTAACCCATGTTCGGCCCTTGCCACAGACGCTGCTGTTAGCCCTAGCTCTGACCCGTGTCCAGTCTTTGCCGCAGACTAGTCCTAACCCTGACCCGTGCCCGGCCTTTGCCGCAGACTCTGCTGCAGGAGAAGTCTGCCCGTCTGACCGGCCTCCTGCGCGCCCTCCTCACCCGTCCCTGGGTACCGGGACGCTACCTCAGCACCGCCAAGTACATGCTCTCCGACTTCCGCGAGTTTGTCGCCGCCAGCTGGGACAACTTACCAGAAGCAGAGGTGAGCAGTGACAGTGACACTAAGATGAATATTCCCACTTGATCCCACAGATAAAAAATTGTTTAATACAATTTTTAACCAGCATCTCAACGACTTCCAATAAGGCCATGACCTTTTGTTGGCTAAGTTTAGGTGTGTTCGCCCCAAATTCGTATCGATCATCGGACGATGAAATTAAATAAAACCATCGCGAATCATTTATCGAGCGTCGATATTCGAAAAATAAAAGACGGTAAAGCAAACTTTGGGCTAATAACTATCACATGGTGAGTTGGACAGAGTAAGAATCGTAATGGCGCTGAGCGCTGCTGACCGTTTATCTGTCATTTGTCACAGCTGATCAAGCTGCTGGCCGAGGTGACCAACACCTGCACGGGCACGCTGTACGAGCTGCTGCAGGTGCTGCAGCACGTGGACCCCAGCGGAGCGGCACTGCGTCAGAGCCTGAGCGCAATCAACCTGGTGAGGAGAACGGACCGGTTATCCCTCCCCTACCCCTCTATGTCTTTGTCTGTCTGTCTCTGTCTCTCTTCGTCTGTCTGTCTCTCCCTCTCTCCTCTCCTCTCCTCTCCTCTCTCTCTCTCTCTCTCTCTCTCTCTCTCTCTCTCTCTCTCTCTCTCTCTCACTCCCTCTCTTCCCTCGGGCCGTCGGAGCTGCCACAAACACCCTGTCGCTAGCAGATACCCCTCTCCCTTCTTCGCTTTGTAGGCCTGTTTTGATCGTAGTTTAAGGACCAACCAAAGCATCTGTTTCGGAGAAGTGTCTTCTAATTAGCTGACCATCGGACTCATTTGATCCCTGTGCGTGCCCGAGGCCTGTCATTATAGGGGTAGCTCCAGCTAATTAAAACAAAGTCGTCGACTCGGAAAAAAAAAACACTTCTAACTCAGCGGGCAGACTAGTCACCAGAACAGGTCACGAATGTCACGGTGACGTGTTGCATGTTACGAGCATAACTAATCCTCGCTCGCTCTCATAAACATGTAGCTCAGACGCGCAAATGATGACCAACCTCAGTGGGCTTTGTCCGCCGAGTGTTAACGCTCGTTTTTGTGTCCCCGTCAGGAGCACCACCTGAGCGCGGCGGTGACCCAGCTGCTGGCGTTCCTGTACCCGGCACGCGCCAGCACCTGGTCACCCGGCGAGGCGGTGCTGGTCTACCAGCACCTGATCGTGATGCAGACACTGACCAGCAGCCTGCCCACCACACTGGCCTTCATACAGCGACAGTTCACTGAGGAGTTCAGGTAAACGACCGTGGCCTTCATACAACGACAGTTCAATGATGAGTTCAGGTAAACGATCCTGGCCTTCATACAGCGACAGTTCACTGAGGAGTTCAGGTAAACGACCCTGGCCTTCATACAGCGACAGTTCACTGAGGAGTTCAGGTAAACGACCCTGGCCTTCATACAACGACAGTTCAATGATGAGTTCAGGTAAACGATCCTGGCCTTCATACAGCGACAGTTCACTGAGGAGTTCAGGTAAACGACCCTGGCCTTCATACAGCGACAGTTCACTGAGGAGTTCAGGTAACGGCCGACCCTGGCCTTCATACAGCGACAGTTCACTGAGGAGTTCAGGTTAACGACACTGGCCTTCATACAGCGACAGTTCACTGAGGAGTTCAGGTAAACGACCCTGGCCTTCATACAGCGACAGTTCACTGAGGAGTTCAGGTAAACGACCCTGGCCTTCATACAGCGACAGTTCACTGAGGAGTTCAGGTAAACGACCCTGGCCTTCATACAACGACAGTTCAATGATGAGTTCAGGTAAACGATCCTGGCCTTCATACAGCGACAGTTCACTGAGGAGTTCAGGTAAACGACCCTGGCCTTCATACAGCGACAGTTCACTGAGGAGTTCAGGTAACGGCCGACCCTGGCCTTCATACAGCGACAGTTCACTGAGGAGTTCAGGTTAACGACACTGGCCTTCATACAGCGACAGTTCACTGAGGAGTTCAGGTAAACGACCCTGGCCTTCATACAGCGACAGTTCAATGATGAGTTCAGGTAAACGATCCTGGCCTTCATACAGCGACAGTTCACTGAGGAGTTCAGGTAAACGACCGTGGCCTTCATACAACGACAGTTCACTGAGGAGTTCAGGTAAACGACCCTGGCCTTCATACAACGACAGTTCAATGATGAGTTCAGGTAAACGATCCTGGCCTTCATACAGCGACAGTTCACTGAGGAGTTCAGGTAAACGACACTGGCCTTCATACAGCGACAGTTCACTGAGGAGTTCAGGTAAACGACCGTGGCCTTCATACAACGACAGTTCACTGAGGAGTTCAGGTAAACGACCCTGGCCTTCATACAACGACAGTTCAATGATGAGTTCAGGTAAACGATCCTGGCCTTCATACAGCGACAGTTCACTGAGGAGTTCAGGTAAACGACACTGGCCTTCATACAGCGACAGTTCACTGAGGAGTTCAGGTAAACGACCCTGGCCTTCATACAACGACAGTTCAATGATGAGTTCAGGTAAACGATCCTGGCCTTCATACAGCGACAGTTCACTGAGGAGTTCAGGTAAACGACCCTGGCCTTCATACAGCGACAGTTCACTGAGGAGTTCAGGTAACGGCCGACCCTGGCCTTCATACAGCGACAGTTCACTGAGGAGTTCAGGTTAACGACACTGGCCTTCATACAGCGACAGTTCACTGAGGAGTTCAGGTAAACGACCCTGGCCTTCATACAACGACAGTTCAATGATGAGTTCAGGTAAACGATCCTGGCCTTCATACAGCGACAGTTCACTGAGGAGTTCAGGTAAACGACCCTGGCCTTCATACAGCGACAGTTCACTGAGGAGTTCAGGTAAACGACCCTGGCCTTCATACAACGACAGTTCAATGATGAGTTCAGGTAAACGATCCTGGCCTTCATACAGCGACAGTTCACTGAGGAGTTCAGGTAAACGACCCTGGCCTTCATACAGCGACAGTTCACTGAGGAGTTCAGGTAACGGCCGACCCTGGCCTTCATACAGCGACAGTTCACTGAGGAGTTCAGGTTAACGACACTGGCCTTCATACAGCGACAGTTCACTGAGGAGTTCAGGTAAACGACCGTGGCCTTCATACAACGACAGTTCACTGAGGAGTTCAGGTAAACGACCCTGGCCTTCATACAGCGACAGTTCACTGAGGAGTTCAGGTAAACGACCCTGGCCTTCATACAGCGACAGTTCACTGAGGAGTTCAGGTAAACGACACTGGCCTTCATACAGCGACAGTTCACTGAGGAGTTCAGGTAAACGACCCTGGCCTTCATACAGCGACAGTTCACTGAGGAGTTCAGGTAAACGACCCTGGCCTTCATACAACGACAGTTCAATGATGAGTTCAGGTAAACGATCCTGGCCTTCATACAGCGACAGTTCACTGAGGAGTTCAGGTAAACGACCCTGGCCTTCATACAGCGACAGTTCACTGAGGAGTTCAGGTAACGGCCGACCCTGGCCTTCATACAGCGACAGTTCACTGAGGAGTTCAGGTTAACGACACTGGCCTTCATACAGCGACAGTTCACTGAGGAGTTCAGGTAAACGACCCTGGCCTTCATACAGCGACAGTTCACTGAGGAGTTCAGGTAAACGACCCTGGCCTTCATACAGCGACAGTTCACTGAGGAGTTCAGGTAAACGACCCTGGCCTTCATACAGCGACAGTTCACTGAGGAGTTCAGGTAAACGACCCTGGCCTTCATACAGCGACAGTTCACTGAGGAGTTCAGGTAAACGACCCTGGCCTTCATACAACGACAGTTCAATGATGAGTTCAGGTAAACGATCCTGGCCTTCATACAGCGACAGTTCACTGAGGAGTTCAGGTAAACGACCCTGGCCTTCATACAGCGACAGTTCACTGAGGAGTTCAGGTAACGGCCGACCCTGGCCTTCATACAGCGACAGTTCACTGAGGAGTTCAGGTTAACGACACTGGCCTTCATACAGCGACAGTTCACTGAGGAGTTCAGGTAAACGACCCTGGCCTTCATACAACGACAGTTCAATGATGAGTTCAGGTAAACGATCCTGGCCTTCATACAGCGACAGTTCACTGAGGAGTTCAGGTTAACGACACTGGCCTTCATACAACGACAGTTCACTGAGGAGTTCAGGTAAACGACCCTGGCCTTCATACAGCGACAGTTCACTGAGGAGTTCAGGTAAACGACCGTGGCCTTCATACAGCGACAGTTCACTGAGGAGTTCAGGTAAACGACACTGGCCTTCATACAGCGACAGTTCACTGAGGAGTTCAGGTAAACGACCCTGGCCTTCATACAGCGACAGTTCACTGAGGAGTTCAGGTAAACGACCCTGGCCTTCATACAACGACAGTTCAATGATGAGTTCAGGTAAACGATCCTGGCCTTCATACAGCGACAGTTCACTGAGGAGTTCAGGTAAACGACCCTGGCCTTCATACAGCGACAGTTCACTGAGGAGTTCAGGTAACGGCCGACCCTGGCCTTCATACAGCGACAGTTCACTGAGGAGTTCAGGTTAACGACACTGGCCTTCATACAGCGACAGTTCACTGAGGAGTTCAGGTAAACGACCCTGGCCTTCATACAGCGACAGTTCACTGAGGAGTTCAGGTAAACGACCCTGGCCTTCATACAGCGACAGTTCACTGAGGAGTTCAGGTAAACGACCCTGGCCTTCATACAGCGACAGTTCACTGAGGAGTTCAGGTAAACGACCCTGGCCTTCATACAGCGACAGTTCACTGAGGAGTTCAGGTAAACGACCCTGGCCTTCATACAACGACAGTTCAATGATGAGTTCAGGTAAACGATCCTGGCCTTCATACAGCGACAGTTCACTGAGGAGTTCAGGTAAACGACCCTGGCCTTCATACAGCGACAGTTCACTGAGGAGTTCAGGTAACGGCCGACCCTGGCCTTCATACAGCGACAGTTCACTGAGGAGTTCAGGTTAACGACACTGGCCTTCATACAGCGACAGTTCACTGAGGAGGTCAGGTAAACGACCCTGGCCTTCATACAACGACAGTTCAATGATGAGTTCAGGTAAACGATCCTGGCCTTCATACAGCGACAGTTCACTGAGGAGTTCAGGTAAACGACCCTGGCCTTCATACAGCGACAGTTCACTGAGGAGTTCAGGTAACGGCCGACCCTGGCCTTCATACAGCGACAGTTCACTGAGGAGTTCAGGTTAACGACACTGGCCTTCATACAGCGACAGTTCACTGAGGAGTTCAGGTTAACGACACTGGCCTTCATACAGCGACAGTGCACTGAGGAGTTCAGGTTAACGACACTGGCCTTCATACAGCGACAGTTCACTGAGGAGTTCAGGTAAACGACCGTGGCCTTCATACAGCGACAGTTCACTGAGGAGTTCAGGTAAACGACCCTGGCCTTCATACAGCGACAGTTCACTGAGGAGTTCAGGTAAACGACACTGGCCTTCATACAGCGACAGTTCACTGAGGAGTTCAGGTAAACGACACTGGCCTTCATACAGCGACAGTTCACTGAGGAGTTCAGGTAAACGACCCTGGCCTTCATACAACGACAGTTCAATGATGAGTTCAGGTAAACGATCCTGGCCTTCATACAGCGACAGTTCACTGAGGAGTTCAGGTAAACGACCCTGGCCTTCATACAGCGACAGTTCACTGAGGAGTTCAGGTAAACGACCCTGGCCTTCATACAGCGACAGTTCACTGAGGAGTTCAGGTAACGGACGACCCTGGCCTTCATACAGCGACAGTTCACTGAGGAGTTCAAGTAACGGACGACCCTGGCCTTCATACAGCGACAGTTCACTGAGGAGTTCAGATAAACGACCCTGGCCTTCATACAGCGACAGTTCACTGAGGAGTTCAGATAAACGACACTGGCCTTCATACAGCGACAGTTCACTGAGGAGTTCAGGTAAACGACCCTGGCCTTCATGCAGCGACAGTTCACTGAGGAGTTCAGGTAAACGACCCTGGCCTTCATACAGCGACAGTTCACTGAGGAGTTCAGGTTAACGACCCTGGCCTTCATACAGCGACAGTTCACTGAGGAGTTCAGGTAAACGACCCTGGCCTTCATACAGCGACAGTTCACTGAGGAGTTCAGGTAACGGACGACCGTGGCCTTCATACAGCGACAGTTCACTGAGGAGTTCAGGTAAACGTACTCCAGCCCTCATACTATACTAGGTAAAGAAGGATTCAGGAAACGGCTGTGGCGTGCAGGCTATGCTTATTACGCCTAGTTCCTAGCGTTTGACCCGCGAGCGGATTAATGTTGTTTTCCGTGTCCTGGAAACAAGACGGATAATAATTTGAATCGTATTGCAAGCAGCCGTCATAATGAAGAAAGTCGCTAAGACTGCAAAAGGTCAACTATGTGAAGCATTTATAACAGTAATGCGTGACACATTTCTACGTTACTTTCATAAATGAACCATACTGCATTCACGGATACAGCATCAGCTTTCGTTTAGCTTCTATCGCCTTCGCCTCCGTCTGTGAAGCCGCTGACCCCTCCTCTTTCTCGGTACAGGTACTACGTGAACCCAGTCGTGGTGGGTCACAAACTACCAGCGCGATACCCGATTCGACATCAGCTACTGCACGTAATGGAGACCCTCGCCAAAAAGATCGGTGTGCCGGGTCCGGCGGCCGGGGCCATCCGTCACCGTGGACCGTTCCAGTCCTGAGGCGGCCGCAGAGCAGCGAGGAATGGAGACGGGCACAGCCGCAGGCTCAGAGGCGACGTGTGCTCGGTAGTACCTCAGCAACACGAATGAGGAAGTCGAGACAAGTTCACATATCTCACTAATGACAGACCGCCCAGCGTTGGACGCGGAACGATATGCAATGATAGTGTGCTCTTAAATATCTGTGCAAGTCTGGATTGGGGAAAACGCTGCAAGCGCTCTTATTGCATTAGCCTTCATCCTTCCGTCCCACTCAAAACATATCGAGAAGTTGAAAACACTGAGACCCGTCCAATGTTCACCTACCCACCAAATGATTAGACCTACCCACCGTCTACCCGTCCCTCGTCAAAACTTTACGACGGCACTTGCAATAAGACGGCCGTTTTAGTGTAAGCAGCGTCTTAGCATTCCTCACCGATGATACATATTTTGCGTCTAACCGGCCCCCTCGACTCTTGAGGCAGGCTGGAGGATTATCTAGAGCCTAAGACTGCAGACTAGTCTGGATTTCGAATAGGCGGCTGAAGTTCAGCCCTCAGATATTTACCCGAATACGCCCTGCCCGCGCTGATTTTAAAACGAGTGTGTGAATGTGACCGATAGAAGTGAACTGGTTGGTTATCCTTCACAGGATGGCAAGTGCCTAGCTTATATGTTAGCTTCATCCTCAACGGATCAATGATCTATGCCATGATGCCATATCTCTTGTTGTTCGTTTCGTTGTAGACATAGGCGTAGGTTCGACACAACAGCGAGGCCAGTGAAGACGGAACTGCGATTTAACCCGCAGGGACGTCAACTGTCCCAAGATGCAAATGTTTTGCTTTTATTTCTTGGGTGAATCGTCAATTGATGTTTGTTTTTCTCGCTAAGAAGGCGTGAGGACCCGAGCGAAGTATGAGGCCGAAAGGTGCGGGTCCCCGGGCTCTGCCGTTCCTACGCCTGCAGTTTGTGAGTGGACTCTGCACGCTGTCGACGCTCGCGCTGTTGATAGGGTCGGCTCTCGCGGCCACGGGGTGCTCCGTGCCACCGTATCGGCTGGTGGAGTGAGTCCGTGCTCCGTCCGACTCCGCGGGCCGCGGCCTGAGCGTGTGCTACGATTGTGATAGTGTCGTGCCATTAATAAATGCCGAGTGTATCGGGTCGGCCAAATTGGCTGTCACGGGCTGAACCCGTTCCGGCACGGAGGAGCTGTCGGCACAGCCGCGGACCGGGTGAAGGTCGTACCACACCACAGCTGGCGGGCAGACCAACAGGCGAGGAGGGAGACGCCCGTCCACAGCTGAGGTCGTATATCCACCAATCAATAGCCAATCAATAGTCCACATCGCCGCCTGTCATGCATCGGATTAAATGTATGCCAAACATCGATTGATAGCCGAACGTAGTGCACCAATGGATAGTTCAGATAATGACTTGTGAGCTGGATAAAGCCAAACGCCAGATTACCTTCCCATGACAGCATTATATTGACAGACGCACAAAGGGCCAAAGCTGATGCCGAAACATCGCTGAAAAAAGGAACGTCGGAATGAAAGAAGATCACACTGACAAAATTTCCGCCAAATAATGAAATAAATTGTAAAGCATAGCCCTTATCACCACACACATAGCCATAAGCTACCCAAAATAAAGTTATATCGACCATCCCGGCTAGTGCATTCGGTGCAAGGAAGCTCAACAATTGCCCGAACCAAACCACAGAGCCGAGGGGATCTGCTGAAAGTGCACAGCTCCTCATCTCCAGGATACCAACTGAACAGGCAGATCACACTTCACCTTCATCAACAGGTCATTGTCATAGTTCATATACTTGCATCGACCTACACGATCGATGCTTTAATCGCTTGCATTAATATAATAGTTTGTCGTATATTTATCATTGGTTGTATCGCACAAGTCCGGCACTAATTGCTCGCCGGAGCGGAACCAAAGCGTTCATAGGACATCGGTCCGATCGCCGGTCGCATTCAGTCTCCTAGCTGGGACCCACTCCAGAGCCCAGGGCGACCGAGCGCCACAATTGCACCCACACTGCACACGCGCACGCACTCACACCCGCGCGTAACGCACTTGTTTCGACATGGTGTAACCAGCCCCCACATTCGGTAGGACACCCGACTGGGACGGTGTCTGTGTCAGGCACTAACCCAAATGGTGTCAGATGTCCTTGGACGAAGAGCTGACTAAATCCGATGTGTTCGGACTCAGGGTCCCGGTCATCTGAAATGAAAACAACATTTTTGAAGGTCAAAATTTGAATTAAGTTATCATATCTCTTATAACTTACGCAATAAATTTCCATCGCTGTTGGCTGAAACTGTCCCATTAATTGAGACTATGTGAGCAAAGACCAAAAGATTTGAGACCATGACCACTTGACCAGTGAAGTGTGTAGCATAGTCTGCAGGGACTGCCGTCTGTGGGAAAGGGGGATTGTCTGTGGCAGCCTTCAGGGACATCTTACCGCTGCACTGGTGGTGCCAGCCCCGCCGCGGGCTGTCAGTCTGGGAACAGGGGAATGCCTGCGGTACTTTGTATAGAGATTTGGTGGTGCCGGTCCTGCAGGGGACTATCTGTCTTTGATAAGTATGCAGGGACACCCTACCTGCTGATGATGCCGTCCCCTCTGCGGGCTGTCGGTCTGCATAGAGCGCTGCAGGCGCCGCCGCTCCGCCACCTCGCCCTGCAGCTGGATGTCCAACAGGTAGTTCAGCTGCTTCAGCTCCGCCAACCTGGCACACACAGAACGGAATTAAGCGCATGGAACATCGGACAACTCACAATACAATATCAGCGTACCCTCCGCATCGACTGTGGAGGCCAAATTCCTCCTATAAAGCAGCTTCATAATCTAACCACAACATGTTGCTACTCTAAATCAAGGGGAAAACTTGCAGGGAGAATAATAAAATCATGTTTGCATTCACTTAACATTGTAACCGCATATCAAATTCTTTGGCTGCTAAGCAACTGCTAATGGTGAGCTATATTCGTCAATCTCGGTAATCCAGCTTATTTCGGGAAGACGCAGCCCCTTCCCTTCATTAGTTGACGAGTTTTACATCAACTGCCCATTCAGCGAAGCTAATGGCGTAACTAAGAGTCTAATTAAATCCCTCATTACGTGACGCCAATTTACGGCTATCACCAGGCTCATGAGTGCGTACTTGAGTTTGAGCTGTTGCACGTCTGCAGAGTCGTCAGCGGGCGGCTGGGACACCTCAGCACCGCGAGACTGGTTGGAGCGGAGGGCGGACGAGAGGCGCAGCTGGAGCAGGTCCCTCTCCTCCAGCAGCTGGCGGAGAGACAGACATATCAATACAGACATCGAATACAGCAGGTCCCTCTCCTCCAGCAGCTGACGAACAGACAGACACATCAATACAGACATCGAACACAGCAGGTCCCTCTCCTCCAACAGCTGGCGGGCACAGAGACAAACACATCAATACAGACATCGAACACAGCACGTCCCTCTGCTCCAGCAGCTGGCAGACACACAGACATCGATCAATAACGTGCATGTGATGTGTAACAAGGTATGACATGTAATCAGAAATGTGCACTTGTCGCTGACACGAACGTTTAAACTTTAAATCATTTCGATAAAGTTGACTGCCGAAGAATGGCTGTCAACAGCAGCCTCGACGCGTTGGAAGGCAGATTCACGAAGGCAGCACGAAATTATTTCAATAATATAATCCATATACATGACCTAAATTAGCTTCGAAGGATGCATTCGCATCGGCGATTTTCAGATCCCATTGTCTACATACTATCGTGCTTTACCCAATTGAGATTACGCATGATAGCAACCATTATGTAACCACAAGGTCGACTGCGAACTATAAAGCAAGTAGTCATTACTTCCTGGGTCAACTTCCTTGATGAAGACTGGACATGAGAACATGCCATACGTACATTTGGCAAAGCGCTAATAACCTAATTGATCGAATACGTTATGAAAAATGCCAATGTTTTTTTTTCACTCTGAAAGCCCAGCTGAGTAGCCCGGCTCTCTCAGCTCTCAGCTACACTCACCTGTGCCACCTCTGTGGTCAGCTGACTGCAGCGGGCGTCCCGGCTGTGCAGCGTCTCCGCCAGCAGGCGCAGGTGCTCGTTCAGTCCCTCCACCACGGCGCCGTCCTCGCCCTCCTCGGCCAGCGTACGCCACTGCGCCGCCTCGGCGCGCAGTGCGGCGATTGTGGCGCGCTGGTTGTTGAGCTCCTCAGCCATCCCGTGTATGATGGCCTCCCGGGAGCGGAGGATGGGAGACTGGTCGGCTGTGAGCTCCTCGCCAACCGCCGCCGGGAGTGCAGCAGCAGCCTCCGGGACGGCAGCGGCCAGTGGGACGGCAGCCGCCGGCGAGACGGCAGCGGGCGCCGCCGGATCGGCCCCAGTCAGAGGCGGCAGCTCCGCGGTCATCTGAGACTGGAACACGCTCGTCACCACCGGCTCCACAGCCGCGAGATCGGTGACAGCGACAGGCGCCGCCGGATCGGCCCCCGTGAGCCGGTGCGCCGGCGACTTGGGCGGCTCAGCGGCCGACAGAGCCAGCTGTTCGGCCAGTGACGGGCTCTCGGCGCCATCCAGCGGTCCGACCGGCTGCGGCAGCGGGCTGCTGGCAGCTGCCGCCGCCGCCGCGTGGTGCAGCTCCACCAACTCCTCGTGAATCCGCTCCAGGTCGGCCAGCCGCTGCTCCAGGCCCGCCTTCTCCTGTCTCAGCGTCGCCACCACGTCCGCTGAGGGATCACCAGCCGCCGGCTCGGTGGGGCCGGAGGACTCCTGCTGGCGACTCTCGGCCGCCTCCTCTAGCTCCGCTAGACGCCACTCGAGGTCAGTCAGCTGACCGCGCAGATGGTCGTTCTCCAGACGGAGCGCGTGCACCTCCGCCTCCAGGCGCTCCTTGGACTCCAGAAGTCTCTCCTGGGCGTCCTGATAGGTGCCTACCTGGTCGGACAGTCGCGCCTTCTCCTGCTGCAGATTGCGTACCTGGCGTTCGGCCTCCTCAGCTCGCTGACTGGCTTCTGTGGCCTGCGCACGCGCCTCCTCTAACATAGCGGCATCCAGAGCGTCGGGGGCGGCGGCCGCGCCACGCCCGGCCATCTGCTGAACCTTCAGCTTCTGCAACAGCCGGCCGTTCTTCACCTTGGCCTGCTGCAGCTCGTCCCGCAGGCCGGCCAGCATGGTCTCCAGCTCGGCCACCTTCTGGCGGTAGAAGGTCAGCTGGTCGGTGAGTGCCGAGTCGGTGGGAGCCGCCACGCTGCGTGCTGCCGAGAGCTGCGCCTGGGCTGCGCTCAGCGCCTCGCTGACCTGCTGGAGCTCGCTCTCGAGTCGCGCTACATCAGCACGTTCTGACTCCAGCTCTCCACTCAGCTGGGTAACTGTGGCGAGTTCCTCAGCCAGCTGAGCAGACAGTTGAGCCACCTCGTCACCAGCCGCCGCCGGCGCAGCTGCGGCTGCCGGCCGGTTCCGTTCGGTCTCCAGCTCAGAGGTCAGCCGTGCCACCTCCATCTGCAGTGACGCGACTTCAGCGCGCAGTTGGGTCACCGTTTCCAGCTGCTCGGTCAGCTGCACCGACAGCTGCGGCACCTCGTCAGCCGCTGCTGACCGGCTCCGCTCAGTTTCCAGCTCAGAGGTGAGCCGCGCTACCTCCAGCTGCAGTGACGCCGTCTCTGCACGCAGCTGGGCAGCGTGCTCGGCAGCTGACGCAGCCGCCTCGGCCTGCTGTCGCAGCTGGTCCGCCTCCTGCTGCAGCCGTGCCATCCGCTCCCGCTCAGCCTGCAGCTCAGCCACCACGTCAGCCAACTTATCTGAGCACGTCGGCTGCTCCCAGAGCTCAGCAGCAGCCGCCTCTAACCGCGCCACCTTCTCACGCTCTGCGATCAGCTCGGCAGTGACCCGCTCCAGCTCTGCCGACCGGGCCGGCGCCTCTGAGGACGGCGACACCGCCTCCAGCGCCGGCGTGAACTCGTGCCAGCCGGAGTCATCACGCGGCGGTGACGAGCCGGTCTCCTCCAGGAATGGACTGGAGGTGGGGGCCACCAGGGGATCGGCCACCGCCGCGCGGCTCGCAGACACCGACAGCTCCAGTTCGGACACGCGGCTGCGCAGGGCAGCGTTCTCAGTCCGCAGTCGCTCCAGCTCGGTGGTAATTTCAGCGCCGGCGGTCGGTGCGCCACCACTACCCCCGCTGACTCCAGCACTCGCTCCGCTGCTGCCGCCACCGAAGAACGAAAACACAGACGGTAGGACACTCTGCGCGGCCGACACCACTGCATCGGCGACAGCCGCGTCCGACATGGCGTCTTCGGTCCCTTGTTGGGAAGGTGCCGGGGAGAGCAGGGCGACTGTGGAGAGTTCGGAGCTGACAGACTCGGCCGATACCGGCACCGGCACCGCCGCACCGTCTGACGACCAGCCGTCGTACTGCTGTGCAGCCGTAGGAGCGGTAGCTTCTGTCTGCTGTGCGGTCCAGGCTGAAGCAGTGTCCGCTTGCTGTCCAGTCCAGGTGGTAGTTGCGTCCGTTTGCTGTCCGGTCCATGCAGAAACAGTGGCCGGTTGTTGTCCGCTCCACGCAGTAGTCGTGTCCGCCTGCTGTCCGGTCCAGGCTGTAGATGTGTCCGCCTGTTGTCCGGCCTCTGCCGCAGCCGTTTCAGTCTGTGGTGCAGCCTCTGCGGAAGTCGCGTCAGCCTGCTGTCCAGCCCCCGCTGCCGCCGGATCCTGAGCGTAGTAGGCGGCGTAGTAGTTACAATAGTCAATGTACTGCTGCAGCTGCGCCTTGGTCTCTGCCAGTTCAGTATCGACTGCCGCCTTCTCAGTCTGCAGGGCGGCGTATGACTGTTGGGCATCGGCCACCTGCCGCCGCAGCTCTTCGGTCTCGGTCGAGTCAGCCGGCCCGGCGGCTGCCGCTGCTTCCAGTCGAGCGATGGTCGCCTGTAGTTCGGTCTTCTCCGCAGCAGCCGCCTCCAGTCGCGACAGAAGCTCGGCCGACTCGCTCTCCAGCGCCGGCACTCTCTCCCGAAGGGCGGTGGCCTCCACCTCAACCCGCTGCATGGCCGCCGCCGCCTCCTCCAGTCGTGAGACAGTCTCCCGCAGGGAGGCATTCTCGGCAGCGGCCGCCCGCAGTCCCTCTGCCTCCTGCTCCATGCGGTTGATCCTCTCCCAGACTACTGTGTTCTCATCTGCTGCCGTCTGCAGCTCGGCCGCCTCACTGCGTTCTGAGCTGGACACCTCCTCTTTCAGTCGGCGCACCTCCTCCTCTAGAGCATGACAGCGGGCGGCTGTCGACTCAGCCTCAGCCAGTCGGGTGCGCAGCTGATCCGTCTCAGCGCGCAGTAGTGTCAGTTGCTCGGCCAGGTCCTCTGCCAGGGAGGGAGTCGTCTCCACAGGGGCAGTGGGCTCCGGCGCCGCTGGTGCAGCCGCCGCAGGTGCGCCGAAACTGTCAAAGAAGTTCTCCGACGCGCCGCCAAACAGGGCTGACGCGAACTGGAGGCCAGTGGTGGGGGGCGGCGCTGAAGACATCGCGTGTGTGGTAGACTGAACGATCGGCTCCTCCACAGGTGGCGCTGACGGTTCTGGAGGCGGCGGCGGTGGCGCTGACGACTGCGCTGCTGCCGCCGCTGCTGCCTCTGCTGCCTGCCTCTCCAGCTGCTCCTTCTCCGCAGTGACAGTCTCCAGAAGAGTCCTGCTACACTCCAGCTCCTGCTCAGCCTGCTGCAGGCGCAGACTTTCCGCGGCGGCCGCGTTCAGACGCGCCTCGGCCGCCTCCAGCTGTTCTCTGAGCGGCTCCAGGTCGGCGATCCTCACCTCCAGCTGCTCGGTCCTTGTCTCCGCTTCCAGAGCCTGCAGGTTGAGCTGGTGCTGCGCGCTCTCCTGCGCCTGCCGCAGCTCGCGGCGGGCCGTCTCCAGCTGCTCCTCCAGCTGGTGCCGCTCCTGCAGAGTCGTCTGCAGCTGCTGGCCCGTCAGCTCCAGGTCCTGCACCCGCAGCTGCAGCTCGTCGCGCTCCGTCAGCGCCCGGTTCAGCCGCTCCTCGGTGTCGGAGCTGACCCGCAGCTGCTCCTGCAGCCGCTCCCGCTCCTGCAGCGCCTCCTGCAGCTGCTGCTGCAGCGCGTCACGCTGGCTGCACGTCTGCGCCAGCTGCTCGTCCAGTGGCGGGCCGGACGCCGCCGTGCTCTCCTCAGCAGCCGGTGTGGGCGGCTGGACAGCGACGGCCGGGGGCTGGGCGGCTGGTGGCGCCGGCTGCTGAGAAGGCCACACCTCGGCGAATGGATCCGACTCGGCTCCACTGAACGCAGAGAACACGGGAATCGGCTGAGCCTGCGTGGCTGCCGTCGTCTCCGGCTGGTGCGGCGGCGGCGGCGGCGGGGCAGCGGATGACACTGCGACCGCTCCGGTGTCCCAATATCCACCTGTCTGAGCCGGCTGCTCCTGGCCGAAGAACCCTGCAGTCGACAGTCCGTAGTCAAAGACACTCGCAGCCGTTTGCTGACCGTCAGTCTGCTGGTAGTAACCATGAGTTTGCTCGGTCTGCTGCGTGCCGCTCTGGTCGTAATAACCAGGAGTTTGTTCTGTCTGCTGGTTGCCGCTTTGGTTGTAATAACCGGGAGTTTGCTCCGTCTGTTGGCTGCCACTTTGGTTGTAGTAACCAGGTGTTTGCTCAGCTTGCTGTCCAGGATAATGCATGGGAGGATACTGGCTGGTGTCGGCAAAGTACCCGGCCACTCCTTGGTTACCCTGGCTGGTGTATTCTGCACTGGCAGGATAGCTCTCCGTCGCCTGGTAACCGGTCTCGCCCTGAGACACCTGGGGTTGATCTGAGTAGTTGTACTGTCCCGTCTCCTGTCCGACGCCGGGCTGGTGCTGGCCCATCTCACCCAGTTCAGCAGTCGCGGCCTCAGGGTCCGCGGAGCGTAGCTCGGTCTCAGAATGCTGCGCTCCCGCGCCAGAATCACCCCAGCCCGGCCACTCGCGTTGCGCCGCAGTAGTCAGCGGAGGCTCCTCGGCTCTCTCGTGAATGACGGCTGCCTGCTCAATGGCCTTATCCCGCTGCTCCCTCACTGACGCCAGCTCACGCTCTAGCTCTGCAACATTGTCGGCAGCCTTCTGCAGCGCCGCCTCGTTCTCCTGTTTGCAGCAGGCTAGATCGCGTTCTAGCCGCTCAACATCGGAAGTCTTCTGCTTCAGTTGATTCTGAACCTCGTCTATAGTAGAGAGGAACTTTTCTGTGGCCAGACCGGCATCCTCTGCAGCTCTTTCCCCGGCAGACAGACCCTCTTGCTGGATGTGGACCAGCTCCTGTTGTAACCGTGCCTCCTCTTGTTGCAATCGTGTTACCTCCTCTTGCAGTCGAGTCACGTCCTCAGTCGCCTGCTGCACGCGCGCATCGCTCACCTGTTTGCAGCAGGCTAGATCACGTTCTAGCCGCTCAACATCGGCAGTCTTTTGTTTGAGCTGACCCTGAACCTCGTCTATAGTAGAAAGGAACTTCTCCGTGGCTAACCCGGCATCCTCTGCAGCTCTTTCACCGGCGACCAGACCCTCTTGTTGGACGTGGGTCAGCTCCTGTTGGAGTCGGAACACCTCCTCTTGTAATCTGGTCACATCTTCGGTCACCTGCCATACGCGTGCCTCGCTCTCCGCCGCCCGCTGTTCCGCGGCTGCTACTTCTCCCTCTGTCCTAGCCGCCGCCATCTGCTGCTCGAGTCCCCGAACCGTATCCGAGGCCACTCGCAGCTCTGCCAGCGTCTGCTCCGCCAGCGCCACGGCCGCCGCCGTCGCCGCCTGCTGCGACTCTGCCTGACGCTCGGTCTCCCGACACAGCTGCTCGGCCTGCGACTGGGCGGCGCGCAGAGCGTGCGACTCGCGAGTCAGCCGGTCGGCCTCCTGCTGACTGACCACCAGAGAGCGCTCACACTCGGCCCGCTCGGTTTGAGAAGTGTCCAGCTGTTGACGAAGCTCGGTCAGGTCGGATACAGTGTTCTCCAGTTCGTCACGCAGACTGGAGATCTCGTGGTTCAGCACGGACCACTGGTGACCGGCGTCTATACGCTGGTGTTCCAGAGTGCGATCGCGGGCTCCACGCTCCCCTTCAGCGGTGGCTAGTCGAGAACGGAGCTGCGCCACCTGATCCAGTGCCTCCCACAGCTTTTGAGCCGTCTCTGCCGCATCGTAGCCGGCCGGCGCCTGCTGTTCGCTAGTGACGGTGTCGAGCCGCTGCAGCAGTTGGTCACGCTCGGCAGCCAGCTGGCTCACCTCCTGCTGAGTGGTGAGCAGCAGCAGACGCACCTCGGTCAGCTCGGCCGAGAGAGCGTCCGCAGAGGTCTGACTGTGATCAGCAGCAGTGGTAGGCGCGGCCGACAGGGATGGTGCCGTCTCCACAGCAGTGACCGCGTCTGGAGCCATCAGTTCAGTCGTACCCAGCCGCAGAGCCTCGGAAGCCGGCTGGTCTTCACGCGGCCAGCCGGCGTCCTCGTCCCATCCCCACTGACCGGACAGCAGGCCGGTAGCCGCCTGTTCATCAGCCTCCTCCTCTCCGGTCGACCAGCCCCAGCCTTCGCCAGCAGTCGCATCCACCGGCTCCTCCGTCTGCGCGGCGGGAGTGGGAGCGTCCTCGTCGGCTGGCGGAGCGGACGGCGAGGTGTCCACCGGTCCGGCCTCCATCATGTCCCAGCGGTCCCAGCCGCCGCCGTCGTCCCAGTCGTTCGGCGCCGCTACCACAGTTATCGGCTCGGAGGACTCGGACGGAGGGCTGGCGTCCTTCAGTGTGGTCTGCGAGTCGGCGGCGGCGGCTGCGCGCGGCGGTGAGGCAGCGCCGGAGCCGGGCCGCTCGTCCACCATCGACCAGTTCTCCTCCGACGAGTCGCGATGGTGGCCCTCGGAGCCGCTGGACGGCAGGCTGACCACATCCATACCGTGAGGCACGCGGAACAGATTACTGGCCTCGGCGGCTGGTAGCGCCCGCAGCTGCTGCATCAGGGTGCGTACGTCAGCCACCAGAGCGGTGTCGGCACCACGAGCAGGCCCGGTCCGCTGCAGAGGCTCAGTGAGCGCAGACAGCAGGCCAGAGTCGACTGACTGCGCCCGCTCGGCTTCTGCCTCACAGCGCACGCACCGCAACTCGGCAGAGAGCGCCGTGGTGCGCACCTCCAGTCCCGCACACCGCTCGGTGGCAGCGGCGAGAGCCTCCTCTTTGGAGGTGAGCTCATCCAACAGGTATCGGATCTTGTCCTCTTGGCCTGCCTGAATTTCTTCCAAACTGGTGATGCGCTCGCCTCTGTCGTTGTTCTCATTGGTGACAGCCTCTAAGGCTTCCTTCAGCTCATTTATTGAGGCAGACAGACTCTCGATTTCCGTCTTATCCGTATTCGTCTGTTCACTGATGAGCGCCTCTAGGCTTGATATTTTCTCATCTTTACCCTTGAGCTCATCCGTTAGTATGGAAACATTGGCTGTGACACTTTCCACTTCGCCCTTCTGCTTATCAATGACTTCCTCCAGGGCGGCGATTTTGGCATCCTTTTCTGACAGCTCGAGCTCCCACTTCTCCCGCAATTCGTCACTACCCTCGTGCACCACAGTAGCGGAGTTGTCGGCATTCTCCAGCTGCTCCAGACGCGCCTTCATCTGCTGAGCCTCCTGCTCCAGTTCCTTAACCTTGGCCAGCGCCTCGTCTCGCATGGCGGTACGTCGGCGCACGGCCGTCGCCAGCTGTTTCAGCCGGGTCTGCTGTTTGAGCAGCAGCGCCTCCCGCTCGCCGTCCGCGCCCGGCGGCTCACTGCGGGCAGACTCAGACCGCTCGCTCATCAGAGAGCTCTGTGACGAGCTGCGGTCACGCAGCGGCGGTAGCGTCTCGAACGGATCGCGGGGTTCGGCGGCGGCCCGCGCCAGCAGTTGTACTGCCTCGGTGAGCTGCGTGCAGCGGACCCGCAGCGGCGCGGCGCCGGCCACTGCCGACTGCAGGGTCTCCCAGCCAATCACCACCGGACTGTCGGCCGCCAGCGTCCCCAACAGCAGCCGGCTCTGCTCCAGGAGAGAGTGAACGGCGGCGGCCAGCTCAGTCTCCGCCGCGCTGATCTGTGCCTGTAGCCCACTCTCCAAGCTCGCCTCACTGGCGACATGTTTCGCCAGCTCGGAGCGAGCCTCCTCCAGCTCGGAAGTGATCCGCTCCAGAGCTGCCTCCCGCTCGGCCCGCTCGGCGTCGTTCCTTTCCAGGACCGCCTCTCTGTCGACCAACAGAGCGCGCACCTCGGCCAGGGAGGCCTCCCGCGCTGTCAGAGCACCGCGCACCTCCTCCAACGTCGCCTCACGCTCAGACAGCTGCTTCTGTAGCTCAGCCTTGGCCTGAAGCTCCTTCCGCAGCTTGGCCTTCATCAGTTTCAGCTTCTGCTGATCCGGACCAGCGGCAGCGGCCGGTGGCGGAGTCTCGCTCGCTGGTTCCGCAGATTCCACCTTCGCCTCCTCCACGACTGCCGGTGGCTCTAACGGGGCGTCCTGGCGAGCCCGCAGTGCGTCCAGAGCCTCCCGCGCCTCCGTCAGATGCTGCTCGGCCGCCTGCCTCGCTGAAATTTCCAGGTCATACTGAGCCTGCAGTTCAGCCAAAGCCGCTCCAGTGTCTGTTCGACCTTCCTCCTCCACCGAGGCCGACGCCCGCTCCATCTCACCAACACTTGCCTGCAACTCGGTCACACGCGACTTCAGCACACCAATCTTTTCCTCCAGCGCCGCCTTCGCCTTCAGCTCCTGTTTGAGCTTAGTCTTCAGCTTCTTCACCATCTTCTTCAGGGTTTCCTGCGACTGTTCGCCGGCGACCTCGATGGTCTCCGGGGTGTGCTCCTGCTCGTGCTGACCCTTCTCCGTCTCCAGTTTCTCCAGTAGCAGTTTGTTGCCGGACTGCAGCTCAGCCACCTGCTGCTCGGCGCCGGACAGCTGGGTCTGCAGCTGCTCCACCTGCTCCTGCAGCTGGTGCCGCTGCTCCTCCAGCTCCCGCTCGGCCTGCTGCAGGCGGTTCGTCTCCTCCTGCATGGCCGCGCACTCGGCGTGGCTCTCCCGCAGTCGGCGCCGAGCCGTCTCCAGGTCAGTAGCGAGTACCTCCAGTCGCGACTGTAGCGCCGAGACGCTGCTCTCGTCACCAGCGGGCTCCTCGGCGGGCCACGAGTCCCAGCCGTCCGAGGGCTCTGCTGAGCCCGCGTCCACGGCCGCTGACGGCGAAACACCCTCGGAGGTCTCAGCTCCGACAGGAAGCTCGCCGTCGACCTCAGAGCTCGTCATGGCTGCCTGGCTACCCGCCTCCGAAGTATCCTTCTCTGCTTGGCTCGCCACATCCGATGTATCTTTGTCCGCCTGACTGGCCACATCGGCAGTATTCTGCTGCGTTTGGCTCACCACCTGTGACGTGAGATCGAACTGGCTGTCGGCCGCCGGAGGGACGGTATCCGCAAACCAAGCACCCGTCGTCATCGGCGCCGGTCCCGCCTTAGCAGCGGCCAGCTGAGTCTTCATGGCGGCCAGTTCGGAGGAGCTCTCCTCAAGGCGAATTCTGATGGCGTCCAGCTCAGTCTCTGCTGCCTCTCTGGACGAACGGTGAACGTCTGTCTCGGAGAGGGCTTCCGACAGCCGAGTCTCAGTCTCTGATAGCCTGGTTTCAGTCTCAGACAGCTTGGTCTCAAGCTCCGTCAGCTTAGCCTCACTCTCCGAGAGTTTCGCCTCGGTCTCCTCAAGCTTGGCATTTGTCTCGGTTAGTCGCGACTGCGTGTTAGCTAGCCTCTCCTCGCCCTCGGTCAGTTTCGCCCTAAGCTCGTCGCGTTCCCTGTCCAGCTCGGTCCTGCCGGTACAGCTCGAGTCCAGCTCCCGCTGCGTTTCCTCCAGGGCGTTCCGCGTCTCCTGAAGGGCGGCGGTCAGGTCGGCAGTCTGCTGCTCCAAGTTCTCCTTCTCGGCCGTCAGCTTGGAGAGCAGAGCGTCCGACTCGCCAGATGAGGACGTGAACTCCTCCACCTGGAAAGACGTACCGGGTATAACCGTCATAACAGATAAAAATTAAATACAGACAGTGCATCCTCAGTTTGTTATGACCCAACGGGATATAAGAGAACATAGCGACATTGTGGATGAACAATATTAGATGATGAAGTCAATGCACGCAACTAAAAATAATAAGCTTTCCGCTAAATCCCGTCGCGAATTGAACAACGAACTTGTCCAGGCGACCTTGTGAGCTTTGGCACCACTATCTGTTCTACATGGAGGGAGGAGAGTGCGTAAAGGTATAACCCCAGAGAAATGCGTGACTAACAAATTACCAGCTGCGGACCGAGCAGGAAGCCGTATGACACATTGATCGCCTATCACCCTGACCTTTTGCTCGAGCTCCGTCAGCTGAGCATCTTTGGTGCGGAGCTGCTCCCTCAGCTGCTCGGCAGCGGCCTCCAGCTCCGCCCGCTGGCCCTCCGCCTCCGCCTGAGCCCGCTCCAGGTCACACAGCTTCTTAGTGACGGCGGTCAGCTCGGCCAGCCGCTCAGAGGACTCTGTTGGGATAACAGGAACGGCGTAAATGGGTGTACCGTACCAGACAGCCGGTAGTGTATCTAGGACAGTCAGTTCAACAGTAATCTGATGCAAAGGAAAATAATGCAATCAAAGCTAGTATTGATTTGACCTTTACTGAACGAATGCTTCCAACGATGACATGCATAAAACTATGTCCTGTGACTTATCCAACGGATATGATAAAACAACGGATACCATTATTTCCAGGATAGAATTCCAATACTGTGTATCGAACCTCCCCGGACCACCCGTCCATCCGTCCACCCACCCTGCTGAAGTCGGTCTCGCTCCTCCTCCAGTGCCGTCGTGTCGGCCCTCTCCGCCAGCTCGGCCTCCAGCTGGGCGCAGCGCTCCGACAGCTGCACCGTCTCGCCCTCCAGCTGGCCCAGTCGCTGGCGCTTCTGCGACTTCACTCGGAACACCATCTTCTGTGATTCGGCGAGCTCCCGCTTCACGGCGGCGAGCTCAGAGTCCAGAGACGCCGCGCGGCCAGACTGCCGGCACAGATACGGAGGTTAGGTTGTGATCAGTCGAAGCCATACGACCATAAGACCGCCATTCTACACAAGCTGGTGCGAAGGTAGAAGATGAATTATTACCCATAGCACAGCCAAACTAAAAATTGCACCGATAACACCATATTGTTTCGCAAAAAAAAAACTGTTACTGACTGTTTTAAGAAATACTAAACATCATGAGCGTACCAGAGAGCTGAGATGTCATTGCCTAAGAAAAAAGTCATAGCTCAGCAATCTGGTAGCCCAGCTAACATATCAGAACAGCAAAATAAACAATTCTGAAGAGTGAAGAATAACAAACAGACAAATTCGGAAACGAAACACACTACCGTAGACGGAGTAGATTGTGGACACTTTTACCTACCTCGATTTTCGCAGACGCCTGTAGTTTTACAACTTTCTCCTGCAGATTGGCGTTTGCAATAACCAAATCAAACTTGGCAGCTTCGATCTTCTTGTAGTTTTCCTCTGCCGTTTCCAGACTGGAACCCAAAGACACAACCTTATTATAAACGGGGTCTGCTTTGCTGCTGTCGAGTCAGATATTAAGGCACACGAGCCATGAAGCAGATACTGTCCCCGCGATAGGGCGTGAAGTGCTTATGGCGTTGAGTGCAAGAATACTGTGTCTCTCGGTGGTATACGCGCCCTTCAACATCGCTGGCCACCAATCAACATCGAGTCCTTCATGATTCGGCCTAAATTATTCACCCAAGCTAATCGTATATCAGCTAATGTATACTTAACAGGAGTGCGTGAGAAGCATCAGGTAGGTATCTACAGTATCTACGCGTAGTATCGAGTGTCCGAGACAACTCACGCGTCGGTGGCGGTCTGCAACTGCCGGCTGAGCTTCTCCTCGCGGACCTTCCAGTCGGCCTCGTGCACGGCGAACGCCTCCTGCATGTCTCGCATCTGCTGCCGCGTCTCGTCCAGCGTGTCCATCGTCTCCTGGCCGCGCTCCGTCAGCGCGCGCGTCACCAGGTTCACGGCCGCCGTGCGCGCAGAGATCACAGACTCCTTCTCCTGCAGGGTATCCTGCGGGGAGAATTTCCTATGTCACACTCATGTACAGCGGCCCAAGACCAGACTCCTGTACCGCCGAGATTATACTCCTCTCACAGAGTATCCTGCACAAGGAGAGGTCACAAAACTCTTTTATTACGTCTCCTGCATAAGAGCGAGATCACACTTTATCTTATAATCGTAGTTTCCTTCCGTAACGGCTCCCGCACGATACACAACAACGTATGATGCTATGATGCGGCGGCGACGGCGTGCGATGCTCTTTTTTCAACCTTGAACTAATACGACACTGTCAGAAGTAAAAGCTGACTCTTATTATCAAGTGCTGTAAAATTTCGTTCTGTCAAAATATGACGTCGTCCCCATCTACGCAAAAAAAAAAGATAGATATAGTCATAACAGCCAAAACCGACATCTCACCTTCAGGTCCACAACGGTGGCTTCCAGCTGTGACACTTTGTCGGACAGCTCGTAAATGTGATTGTCCTTTGACAGGATGATTCCGTAGAGCTCCTCGGGAGGTTTCTCTCTGATAGAGTCACTCAGCGTCATAGACTGTTGGAGGAAAACACAAGACACAGAGTCGTGACCGAACGTCAACGGTTCTGGCAGCAAAATGGATAACACGTACGTACAAACAGGCACTGCAACAATGGACATAGAAAGTAAACAGATTCTTTCACAGTTCACCAAAATTTCTGCCATTCCAAAAAGACTGCCATGGAATCAGCGATACGGAGGCAGGGTTTATCCATAGTTCCAACCCACACTGGGATACCTAATATGTGAGAGCTCACCCTGTCCGACTACCTACCTTCCGAGGCGAGGTGCCCAGCTCCATCTCGCCGTCGGACCCAGACTCGGCCGAGTCACACGAGTCATACCGGTAGTCGGGGTCCTCGATACGCTCCTGGAGCCGACGCACCATGGCGGTGATGTCGGCTCGCGGCTCACGAGCACGCTCCTCCTGCGCCCGCCTGGAGATGCGAGCATCGTGTCACGCCGAGTCTTCGGGGTAGTTAATAACAGTCGCGTCGAGGGGATGTTACTGGATATTGTAACTCTTCTGTCGAAAAAACGACGGACTAGCGCTACGCGAAAACTTAGGTGACGATAATGTCAATCACTATTCCTCAAACAATTCTGCGGAGACGTTTACGACTTCAGGGCGATTTCAGCACTCGCTGCTGACAACAGCAAATTGATCGTCGTATAACGATACAAACGCAGTTGGATAGGCATACTTTAAACCGTTCCTCGACCGCGAGAACCGACCATCGTTCGTCCCGTCCATTGACGGACCTGTCCACTGACCTTTGCTCCTCCAGCTGTACGGACCCGTCCACTGACCTTTGCTCCTCCAGCTGCCGTTTGATCTCGAGCAGCCTCTGTCGGCGCGGCTGTGAGCCGGCCGGCGGCGCGGGACCGCCGGGGCCAGCCCCGTCCTCCTCCAGGGCCGCCACCTGTTCACTGAGCGAAGCCAGCTGGGAGCTCTGCTCGGTCCCAGCCACACTCAGCCGCTGTGCAGACATCAGAGAGAGGGTCGGTCAAAAATACAAACGTGGTGGTACAGTTTGGCATGCGTTGTCGGGAGGCAACCTGCATGCACTAGCATGGACTGCCTTGGAGTACACTCAATGGGCATCAGCAATACAAGGACATCATTGATTGTAATATGTCTTCATTCTAGGTATTGCTTCTGTGATGTTATTGGCCCAAAACAAGAGGTCTGCTCTATCATCTACAGCAATTCTAAAACAGAACAGAGTTGAATGCAGTGATATATTCTGTGAGATCCATAGTTGACACTGCAGTTGAATTGCAAAATACTTTCAATATGCTTCCTTAGGTTCATATCCCCAAATGTCAGGCATGCATTCCCAACCAGATGAGCACATTTTGGACATAAAAACACCATGCTATGCAGCCTGACATGTCACTGCCTGGCTAGTTGAGTTGTCAACACATACCTGGACTTGCTGTTCTTTCTCCTGAAGCTGTGTCTGGTGAGTTTTCACCATGTCTTTCAGCTGTTTGATAAGGTTCTGTTGCATCTCAAACTGCTCTTTCATATCCTCCATTTCTGGGTTTGCCTCGACTGCCTCGGTGGCAGCCTCGGCACCCTCGCTGCCACCCCACCACATCCTGCTGTTTCTGGTAGACTAGGACATCACAAGCTGAAAAGAAAGTCTTCTGATAAAAACATCTTCAATTAAAAGGCAGGAAGTATAAGGAAAGGGCTGAAAGAGGGCTCTACAATTTCTACAAACATAAGTGAAGGTAATTTGTTGATCATCACTGTCTAGACTGATGGGTCAATGAATTTTTTGGTGTCTCTGACTCAGACTCCAGCTTCGGAAACACAGCTCTGACTGCAATCTGGCTCCAGACAGAACAATTGACATTACTTTTTGACAAACTCGTCAGCCCTGGAAGGTCTGTGGAGTGGATAGATTTCAATTTGTTTCCAGGGCCTTGGTTTCCAGCATTTTCATAGTGGTTTAATCAAGCTTTACTCCGCATTCAATGTCTCTCAAACAACAAAGATTCTACGTTGTCCAGTCCAATCATGTTCCATAACCACAGCCGAGGTGTCCTTGAGCTGAATTGGCTGGAGGATGTATGTAGTATCTTCGTCGTCTGAGACATCAATTGCGGAGTTAGTTGAATTGAGTATCACATTTGTGGGAGGAAGCCCACAAGGTGAGTAAACAAGGTAAGTAAACCCAGGCTCAGGCTACTCAGGTCTCAGACTCAATCTGAACTGAACCAAAAATTCATTTATCAGTTTAGTAAGTACCTACCTTCATTTGCTTCAAATAATATTAAAATATACTTAAAGTTTATAAATTATCACACAAAAACAAATAATGTTACAGCTTCAATCTACTCTTACCAAAACATCTGGAAATCCCGCACAACAAAACCCCACAGCTCCTACAGCTTTTTGGCCTTGAATAAATTGCAAATTGCATATGCTAGAAACATTTACTTTAGACATATAATGCGCTGATAGGACATTTACCACAAATATCTTGAAATATTTATTCAATGTATAAAAACATCTTGCACCTTGCCTTTTATCTTGCCAAACTTATGAGATCAAGCCGTTTTGTAAATAAAATGATGATACCGAGGAGGATAATGCAATTTTCCACCTATTGTTCCATAAAATAAGAATCGTTATCATATTTGACGTCATTTTCTGCCACGTTGAGTTTTAACTTAAACAGTCGTATTCAATCGAGAATATTGGTACCGCAAAATCATGACCTACTTACCTTCTTGATAGCAATTTACGTTATTTTCGAATCATTTGAAGTACACCCTGATTGACTATTGATAAGATGCTAAAAACAACAATTTTTGTAAAATGGTACATACATAAGCAGCATAACTTTGGTCATATAAGCGAATTATTTTTCAAAACGTCATCAGATGCATTGGCCAATGAGCATTTGTCTTTTGCCATAACCATTGCTGATTCGCTAAGAATTGCCTGACGACAGGATTAAGAATACAAGACTTTGTATCGTTGCACTCTGCGACCACGTGAGATTTATAACACTGTGGCAACACTGTGGATGTATACTATATGATATACACTATGGTAGGTAGGTGTTATTGAATAAAATCGATGAAATTGGTTAGTTATTTTTACAGTTTGCTCTCTCCTTAACATTTGCACACACTTAATGCTTGTTAAACAATAGGTAGTGAATCCATGTAGGCTGAGGCAGATTTAATTTGAATTGTGGGTTGTGTATAAATGAGTTTATTGCTGTGCTAGTTTAGATATGAAATCATTTTTTTCATAAATGGGTCTCAAAATCCATAGTTCATTTGTTCAGTGTTTGATGGTTTTGATTTTTATATGGTTTGGCTCATGTTCTTTTTCAGATTACTTCAATGCAGAGTCACTTCTGACTTGAACATTGCGAGCAAGATGACGGCTTTTGAGACTCACACTGTGAGGTTTTTCATTCCTGAAGCCAAAGCAATTCACTGTGCAGCGCTTAATGCAGAAGCGAACAAGCTAGCTGTTTCAAGGTAAGCAAGCTGCCTGGCTTGTTTCATCACCTAATCTGCAATTACCTATGTTTTATTTTTGCAGCATGGATGTTAAGCTGATAAAATTTGAGCATCTTTGGCTCTAGTGTCTAGCTGAGCATGTCTTTTTCATGCGTCACTATGGATCTTTTTTGCCCGGGAAGGTGATAAAGAATCATTAAATGTAAAACATTGAAGCTGCTGCAAATAAGAAGCTGATTGATGATCCTTGTAAACTAACTCTTCCTATGTGTAGCTCTGAAGTTTTTAATAAGAGTAAGTGTAAAAAGCCTGGAGTGCTTCCTTCTGTCTTAGTCTTTATTCAGTCAGACTGCCAATCTTGAGGCCAACACAACCCTGTAAGCCGAGAGATGCTGCGCATTAGACAGAGCAAATCACAGTGCCAATCGTTACATCTTTACATCTCTCCCTTGCGCCCAAAAGCGGGAAGAGGGGCCCAGCAGCGCAGTGCAACATAACATACGGTAGTGCTTAGCAAAATGATAATTGACTTGGTCGCTCACTCGCGAACCGGCGATCAACACGATGACGCAGTATCGCCCGTATCACTCACGAGCGCGATCAACGAACAAAAAAATGACGCAGTATCACTCGTATCACCGGCGACCGGCGATCTCATCCTTGTCGCCAGTGTAAAAAGCCTGGAGTGCTTCCTTCTGTCTTAGTCTTTATTCAGTCAGACTGCCAAGCTTGAGGCCAACACAACCCTGTAAGCCGAGAGATGCTGCGCATTAGACAGAGCAAATCACAGTGCCAATCGTTACATCTTTACAGTAAGGTTTGTGGAAAGTCTATTTTACTGTAATGGCTGATGATTAGTCTGAACTTTGTTTGGTCTGGCTGGGCAATGCCATGAGCTGTGAGACGTGGTCCTGCTCACTGAGTACACTGAATATTGTTTGAACAGGTCAGACAATGCCGTGGAGCTGTGGGACGTTGGTTGTGTGCTGGCCCGGCGCGGCGCTCCCGTGTGCCAGGCGCGTCTGCCGCCGGCCGGCGGCGCCAGCGTTGAGGCGCTAGCGTGGGCCGCCGGCCGGCTCTTTTCGACCGGACTGCACGGGCACGTGCTGGAGCACGGCGGCCACGGCCTGGAGGCCACGGCCAGTACGTCGGTGTCGGGCACGGCCGCCTGGTGTCTGGCGGCGGACCCGGCCGGCTGCCGCCTGGCCGCCGGTACAGAGGACGGTCAGGTGATCGTGCACGCTGTCACCGACGAGGGACTCGTGTTTGAGCGCCGGATGGCCAAACAGGTGAGTCAGCAGATTGCACCGTGCACTCTGACCCTTGGACGGGACAAAGTAGCGTCGCGAAAAGTGTTTGTTGGCGTAAGGATGCTTTGTTTTTGTTTTCCTAGGCCTCGGATCACGCACTTTAGCGGTATTTGTGAGATTCTGCCGTTGTTCGTCAAACTGCCTGATTACGGCGTGGCTTTGCCTCAGGAGTGGCGCATCCTGTACGTCAAACCCTTGACCGTCTCAATATGCTTTTTTCATATTTCAAGAATGACCGATCCCATGTGTGGCCACTGACTACATCCCGTGTGTCCGTGTTTAAGGAGCGGCGAATCCTGTGCGTCGCCTGGTCGCCCGACGGCACCCACTTAGCAGCCGGATCGGTGAACGCCGTGTGCCTGCACCAAGCGCGTACCGGCGCGCAGGTGTCGCGTATCACCGTCGGCCGTCAGGTGGGCCGAAAGGAGACGCTCGTCTGGAGTGTGGCGCTGCTCGCCGACCTCACAATCGTTACCGGAGACTCCAGGTGAGGCTGAGCGTCGGTAGGGGGCGGGGTTCTGTTAGTTTCGGGACGGACTTATGTAGAGGTCGCGATGTGTACGATGTTGGCCTTTTTCGACGGCAGTTACCTAACATCCCTCTGTATCTCGTTGAAATCACAATTCGCTTGTGGCGTACTTTCCAACAAAGTTACCTGACATTTAAAGACATGATGTGGAGATGAATTGTGAATTAAAATGAAATCGGACTTACTCCACAAGAGTTCGTTGGGTCGGAGCTTTCGAATCATTTGTTCGATCCGCACTGTACCTTCGATTCGATCTTAACATCCGATACGACTCTCGCTGACGAAGAATTGTAATACAATTCGAAAGCTCCGACCCAACGAACTCTTGTGGAGTAAGTCCGATTTCATTTTAATTCAAAGTTACCTGACGATGTCGTTCTGCTCTTGTCGCTAAACCCAAATATCAACTTCGTCTTAATCATCTCAGCGTCGTGCGCCCACCACAGCTTACCCCAACAGTTGTTGGCCCCGCTGATCCCTTCCCCTCCCTCTGTCACAGAGGCCGTGTGTCGTTCTGGAACGGCCCTCTGGGCGCCCTGCACACCTCTCTCGGCTCCCACCGGGCGGACGTGCTGGCAGTCACCTCCTCTGCCGACGGGGAGCGGGTATTCGCCGCGGGAGTCGACCCCACCGTGGCCCGGTTCGAGCGAATACCGTCAGCACGGGCCACTGCTGGCTGGGTCCGCTCGCTGAGAATACAGCTGCACGTGCGGGATGTGCGCGTAATGATCAGCACCGGAGACTGTCTGATTTCGGCAGGTGAGAACGGAGTCACTCCGTGGGTGGCATGGAATTCGGTGTGGATGTTAGGTGGTAATCAGAACGGTTACGGGAACGAAACGCGGGCTTACCCGAGGGTAGTTGGACGCTCATTGTAGCTGTGATCGGTACGGCGGTGAGGAGGGACGATTGGTTGGTGGGATCGTGAAGCAACTGGATGAGGAGAGGTGCGTCATTTGTGTCATTTGTCGATATAAGGGACCGACTGACTGCCGCCGTTGTGTGTTTCAGGCGTGGATGCCGATCTGGTGTTCGACTTTCAGGGTAACAACAAGGACACCGTCCGGACGTCTCCGCTGCCGCAGGTATGCTGTTCTAACCTCTTCGCCAGATCGAAATGCAAAAATGTGTATTAACTGATTTCGGCAAGCGGCAATTTTTATTGAAGTTTTTTATTTTTGTTTGTGGATGTGTATACTGTATAAGTACCCAAAGATGTTCATCCTGTATGTCGTGTCTCACTTCCAGGTTTTGATGGCATGTCTGTAGTCACTGTGTCAATATTCACTGAATGGGTCTCTGTTCCCTATCCGTTGATGTGACTCCCCCGATCTCCGCCGTCAGCTGGGAACGGTGCTGCCGGCGCCGCGGCTGCCCGGCCTGGTGACGGTCGGTGACTCGGAGCTGCGGCTGTGGCGTCTGCCGGCGGCCGGCAGCGACGACCAGCCGGTGGCGCTGCTGCAGCTGAGCAGCCGGCGCGGCGAGCCGCCCGTCTGCGCCGCCGTGTCGGCCGACGCCGGCTGGCTGGCCTACTCGACACCGGCCCGGCTGCGGCTGCACCGGCTGGAGACGGGCACGGCGCGGCCCAGCCTGCAGCGGGTCCGCAGCCTCCCCCCGGAGGCCGCCGGGCCGTGCCGCCAGCTGGCGTTCTCCCCGTCCGGCGACTGGTTGCTACTGCTGACCGCCGCCGGCCGGCTGGTCCGACTCCGACTGACCTCCGCTTTAGACGAGCTGAGCGCTGAGGACCTGGGCTGGGCGGACGGCCGGGAGGACCCCGATGAGGATGATGAAGAGGACGAGGAGCAGCAGAGCGTCGCGCTGGACCTGCTGACGCTGAGCGCTGACGGGCAGCGCGCCGCTCTGGCCGACCGAGACGGCGGTGTCCTGGTCTGGGATCTCGAGAAGCCGGCGCTGGTATCTCGCATGCCGCGCCGATCAGCGCCTGCCACCGCTCTGGCATTCCGGCCCGACTGTGCCACCCGCGTGCTGGCGGCCTACGCGGACCGGTCGGTGGCAGAGTTCGACACAGCCGCCGGCCACCTGACCGGTTGGTCGCGCTG